AAATATTTTAAAAAAGTGATTTAAAAAGACTGACCGGCGTCTTCGAGTGAAAGTATATGACTAGCAAAGTATTCCGCCGTTCAAAAAAACAAACCCCCTTGTCATGTGAGAAGACGGAAGAGTGCCCACCGTGTGTTCCGGGAGGCAGAGGGGCTGCGGAGCGAGGCGTGGGGCGAGTGTGATGAGATGGGGCGCCCCGTCCCGGACCGGCACCGGCGCCGCGAGAGCATACGGTTTGCATTGCGCGCCCGCGGCTTTCAGCTCAGAGTCGGAACAAACGCGCCGCCGCCTCTCAAGGCTCGAAGGGCTTCGAGAGCAAAAGGGGCGGGAGACGGGGGGCAGGGCAGTGCGCGAGGGGGGAGGTAGGGGTCCAACTACTCTGCCTGCGTTAGACCGCGGGTCGGGCCGGGCCGGTAAGTGTTGCGTACTTTGTGGCGGGGCGCGCGCAGTCGGGCGCGCGCGGGGGCAGAGAGAGGAGCCGACCAAGTGTGTGTGTGGAGTAAATCGCCCACCTCCATCTCAACCGCCCGAGTGAAGCTATCCTCCTACCCGGCGAGGCGAGAGAAGGTCGCGGTCGGGTCAGGGAGGAGACGGGCCGGAGGAGGCGCGCTCACGCACAAACGCTTTCGCACGCGTGCCCCCGCACCCGCGTGCGTCCAGCTAGGTCCAGCCCCACGTACGGGCAGAGGGGAGACGAAACGAAACAAGCGAGCCGCCCACCCGCACCCACACCCACACTCGCACTCGCGAAAATAATCTTCTTGTTCACATCGACTGGCAAAGGGCGATAAATTTTGTCCATTGTAAGATTCTTCTGAGCCGAGGGGAAAACGATTGCCAACCTTTCTATCAACCGGATTACGGATTACCCGGATCACCTCTGGAGTTTCCTCCGGGTTACGTTGCATTTTCTCTAGGATTACCCCGGATTACAAAAAAATAAAAACAATAATCACCGCGGATTATCCCGGATTACTTCGATTACATCTGCTGAATTACCCTACGGCTGTCAGCCGGCTTACTTTGGTCGTTTCCCCTTCGAACTCGAACTTGTCCACCAAGATGGCCGCCAACAAATGAAGGCTACAGAGGGGTCGTGCACATAAGCTATCTACAGTTGGACAAATTGACAAAATGAAAAGTTGTCTAAAATGTGATACAAATTTGACCCAACTCGGAATTCAAAATTGCATTAATTTTAAGATGTGCGCTCAGAAGCATCTTGGAAAAACTGGAGTGCAGGTCATTTGAGTTGCCCAATAAGACGAACAAGCAGAATGTATCCTTGAGGAGGTGGCATGGCGTAGTGCAGTCCTAAAACAAAGCAGCAGAACGTAGGCGGCCGCGAGTAGTGGTATCATCCGCATCGGCTCTCGCTCTCGCTTGGCTCTCACTAAACCATGTTTTGTAGAATGTGTAAAAGGAATGGGTCTAGATTACATTAAGGTATTATTCTAGTGTCAAAAAGTGGTTCTGTAAAGTTTGTCTTCGGAAAAGTAAGTTTACACAATCTTCGAACTCGTCCCCGTGTTGTTGTCTAGGTTAGTTTAACGGACATGTGTTATATTGGTACAATCTTAACTCAATGAGAATGACTCTACTGTCGCAATACACGTTATGGTAAGGGTGATGGTGATACCAAGGTGCTAGATGCATAGGCTCGTTTGTTTGAAGCTGTTTGAAATCTAACGACACGCAACCTAACCTCTTCTAGACTGTCGCCCATTTTCTGCTTTGTTTAGGGATGTCGCTCCTCAACGTCACCCGCCACCCCGCCATCGCTACCTCCTTCTTGTTCCACTTTTGGGCAACTAACCTCAATGACAGCAAACGTGTCAATTTCACTGGTACCGGTAAATCAAAGGTAGTACATCCAACCTCTAGAATGAGTTGTTTCATAACAGTAAGAGTTGTAACGTTTTGAAACAAGTAAATTTCGTGCAGCGCGGCCGCGAACTGATGCGTCGTCGCCGCGCCTCTACTGAAGGAGCCGATGCCGATGTGGAGGTGGGGCGTGCTCCCGGAGCACAGTGCACCCCTGGGCCCTGGGAGGGGCGGAGCCGGGCGGAGCCAGGGCGGCGCGCGGAATGCGTGCAGGTGACGCGCCAGGCATGTCGCGGGGCTGTTATGTGGGGGCCGGCGGCCGCCTCAGCCAAGACCTGGGAACAGGGATTTAGGGAGTCCCCGGAACCTACCCACGCCACAATGAGCACCTTACCCCATTCGGTGGCGAGGTGGCAGCGCGTAGTGGGAACCATAACATGCAAATTTTCTCGTGCGTTTCGGTTAAAATGAGTAGTTCTATCGTCTTCGGTGTGAAAAATTAACTCCCTTCCACACTAGTTTTATCAAAAATAACACCAAAATAAGGGCGTTTGAGATATTTTAGCGACTAGAGGCTTCTGCTTTGTTATGGTTCCGCCGAATGGGGTAAGGTGCTCATATGCATTTTCCAGATAATGAATTTAAAAAAAAAAAATTTAGGCGATACACATGGAAATTGAAAGAAATTGTTTGATGTGAAATAGTTTTCCAAGCACGAACAAGTATGTCTTTTAAATCCGGGGTTTGCCTTTGTCTCTGCTGCAGGATGGTGGCCAGGTGAGGACCGGCCGCTGACGCCATGGTGTGCGCAGCACCTTGGTCACCGTGGGGCGCGGCCGGGGTCACCATGGCGCTGCTTGGCGCGGCCGCGGCCGCCGCGCTGCCCACGACGGCGCCGGACCTCCTTCTCCTCGCCACCCCGGGCCTCCTGGACGCCGCCGAGCCGACCGAGGACTTCGGCATGAACGACGAGTACGGCAACTACACCGAGGCCGACCTGATCGAGTTCATGAACCAGTACGACTGGCTCGAGGTGGTGCCCACCATGACCGTGTACTGCCTCATCATGCTCCTGGGGCTGGCGGGCAACGCGCTCATCATCTTCACGACGCAGCGCTACCGCCGCATGCAGTCCACCACCAACGTGTTCCTGTCGTCGCTCGCCGTGGCCGACCTGCTCCTCATCATCGTCTGCATCCCCGTCAAGGTGAGAGAAGCTAAAGCGATCGATTCACGAAGTGGGAAAGAGGGGAGGTGGAAGTTTACTTAAGTCTGCTTCCAATTGGAACTTCTCATAGCCTCTTTTTCACGTTTTTTTTTTGTAAACTAAAATAGCACCCCAAGTCACTTGGGAAGTAGTAAATATTGCGAGGCCACTTCGAGATTTATCTTTACAATTCAACTTCGCGTGAAACTAGCTAGGGTTGATTGCGACGTAAATTGAATCATTCCTCGAACTATTTTGTGTTTCGGGGAAGTTTTCCTTCCCTACCCACTAGAAAGACCCGTTAGTCCATTAACCGGTCACAGTGACAACAAAACACACTTTGCGGTTGATCCTTTGTGCATGCACATGCACAACAAAAACAAAGTAGAAAAAAAAAACACTGCCCTTTCTCACCCGTCGTAGTTTCATTTTTTCCCTTTTCCACACCGTTCGTTGGTATGGTATACAAAGCGGGCAGGAAACGCAGTATAGCACCCTGTCCGCTCGCTTCGTCCTCAAAAAAGTAAATTAAAAAACAACAACATAGACGCAACAACCCAAAGCCCCATCATCGCATCGGGGACGCCATTTTCTCGGAAAATTTTAGGGCGGAAGTAGGGGGTGGTGGCGCGCTGGACCGGCCCGGAGCGGGCGGCCAATCATGAAATGCAGCCATGTGATGAGGGCACTACAGCCTCACCCCCCCCCCCCTCCTCCCACCATGACTTTTATAGGCGCCGGGCTCGTCGTGGGCGAGCAGCTGACCGGCCCCCGGCAAACGCGCGACAACGACGGCGCCGCCCTCCTTCACGCTGCTGCAGCGCAGCGCCCGCGCATGGCTGGCGGGTGGGGGGTGTGAGAGGAGGGAGGAGGGTCGGAGGGCGCTTGTTCTGTTGACGGCGCTCGCCCGCCCTTGTGTGCGAGAGGGAGAGGAAGAGTGAGAGGTACAGGGAGGGAGAGGGAGGGAAGGAGAGAGAGGGAGGGAGAGAGAGCGTGCGGGAGAGGGGGAGACAGATAAAGAGATCGGGGAGGGAGGGGGAGACAGAGAGAAAGTGCTTGTGCTTGTGTGTGCGTGTGCTCTCGCACGATGATCATTTGCAGATGCAAATTATACGGGATTAATGAGCGTGCAGGATGAAGGGCGCGCCCTGCCGTGGCCCTGCCGTAGCGCCGCCGTGGCGCCCCGGCTGCGCGATGGCGGGAGGGCCGCCAGACCATTGTCTACCATTCAGCCGCGCCCCCTCCCCCTCGTCACCTCCCCTCACCACCTCCCCTCACCTCTCTTACACACTCCTCTAATGCCAACGTTCGCACTCTGTCGCGCAGCAGGACCCCCACCCTCTCCGCTCACACTCTCACTTTTGCAGCCGCCGGAGTGTTTCCCGAGCCCCCTCCACCCTTCCACAACACATCACGCTGGATTTAATATTTTCCTGTCGCCCTGGTCGGCGCGGGGCGGATACGGGGGTGCGATGGGGTGGATACGGCGCGTTGTCATGCGACTGACGCCACATTACAACTCGGCCCATGGAGGATATCCATCGCGGCCGGGCGGCTTCAGACTGTCTCTGGTGGTTTAGACATCTGCTGCCGCACGCAATGTCAGAGGGAAGGGCTGCCACCGTAGGGCGCCGCGGGGTCCAACCGCGGAGGACGCAGGGTTCCACAGGAGGGTGCCGCGGGCTAACCCCGAAATTACGTGCATGTGCGAAATGCGTCGCGAAAAGGATGCGTCGTAAAACGGCGATTACGCTTTCTTCTCGGCTCGACGCGCCCCTGCCACGCCCCGCCACGCCCCGCCCCGCCCCGCC